CCAATCATCACCAAGCCCCGCTGGTGCTACCGTCAGAACATATCAAGCATCTAACATCTCCTTTGCATTTTTCCAACCAGCCATCTTCTTAGGCCATTGACCCTCTTATTGGATGATGGTAGCAGCCTCTTAATGTTATCCTGCTTCACCCATTTCTCTCTTCTGCCCTTTTCAACACATCAGCCAGAAGGACCTTTTTAAGTCTGAGTCAGACGCAGTCGCTCTCCTGACTGTGTCTCCTACGACTTCCCACTCCAGCAGGGTGAAATCTCTTGCTGGGTTTTCAAGACCTCGTGTAATACACACCCCACAACCTCTCCTCTATCTAATGCTGTGCATGTCCTCTCTGCCCGTCTCAGAGAGCTCTCCATTCTTCGCCACTGCTACGTGCCAGGAGGCTGAACCTCATGAACTTTAGGTGCAGGCTCCTTGCTTTCTGTTTTCCGCTGGGTTTAGAACTGGAAATGCCAGGAGGACCTCGGGATGTGGGAGAAGGGTGAAGCTGGGGAAGTCTCTCTTTCTCCCTTCTCCCCAGCCAGGTATTGGCAAAGGCTGCTCTTCTGTGTGTTCACAGCTCCTGTCCAGTGGGCACCCTACAGCCCAGGCTCTTGTGGGGTTCCATGGTTATACCTCGCTTTGCTTCAGGCCAAGGGTTTGGAATGGTTTGCTTAACTGATCACACCTCCACACTTCTCTTTTGAACGTGCCATCTGCTTCCTGCTAGGGCACTTATTTTCTTGCTATGCACCTCCCTGTTGTTGTTTTCATGGCCTGGCCAGGTGGTCTTCCTTCCTATCACTTTAACAACAAGCATGAATTTGAAGTTGTCATCATTTCTACATAGAATGCGCTTCCAGACATCCATGTGCATCACTCTCCAGGCTTTCTAAACAGAAGGATTGAGGGTTGTGGATAGTGACTAACTGGGGACAGTGGTGCATACGGTCAAGGAATTTACAAAGGCAGTTTACCTTTACCTACAAGGCAAAGAAAGGAGGATTTATTAAAGAAAGTAGGAAAATATGTTGCAAGGATGCAATGGGTAGATCAGCAAGGAAGATGCTGAGTTCCAGGAGACAAAAGCTTGCTGGGTATTTTATAGGATGGTGCTTGTGCTGGAGAGGGATATGTGCAGTACTGGTAACACTAAGATTGCTGTGAGCTCACTTGCATTTTTCTATCAGCCGAGGTGTCTGCTGGTAAGTCAGGCATAGGGAGATTGTGTGTTAGACGGACTATTTGTGCGGGAGGGCTGTGTGTCCTGCACCATGAAGAAAGGCAGATTTATACTTTATCTGCTTTGTCTTTTTGCCTTCCCTGCTCCCCCTAGCCTGGCTCCTTTTCCTAATCAGGACCCCACATCAGATAACACCCTCACTCCCAAGGCTGGTCATTTTGTTTAAAGTTAGAATATATCCACTTCCCACTGCAACGCTCTAGATTCCCTTTATCTTGGCTTACTTCACATAGAAAAGCATAATTTATAACTTAACAAAAGTGAGTAGCTAAAGAAGAAAGCAGGTCATACATGACACCATAAACTGTAAACAATAAAAGCTGAATTGGTAAAGATCTTCTAACTGGAAAGCCCCATACTGAGATGGTGTTAAATGCATCGTTTCTATAAATGTTCATGGTATTTTTATGAGGTAGACACTATTATTTCATCTTATAAATCAGTAAACAGGCTTTGAGACAGGAATTAAATTGCCCAAGATCAAACAGCCAGTAACGTCAGAGCAGGGATTAGAAAAATTTAACAATTATAAAATTTCATGAAACATGGAAATAAGGAATACATCCCTTCAAAGCAGCTAGGAGCTGTATGTATTAGAGCAAAGGAGCAGTGAAAGTTATTGCATATTTCTTGTTACTTAGTCCACGGATTGCTTTCACAGTGTTATTATTCCTGTAAGTCACAGAACCTGACAGTTGTGAGCATTGTTACTGCCCTAATTCCTGCAGCCTCAGCTGTGAAACACTTTCAGTATTTTTCTTTTGTTTGTTGAGACAGTTAAAAAAAAAAAAAAAAAAAAAAGAACTACCACAGCTAATTCTTTCTGTTTATCTAAATGCTTGTCAAAATGCCTAAGCAGTGATTTGCCGGGTTTGGGAGTTATGCGTGCATATACATTTTAAATAAACTGGCAACAGGCCTCAGCTTTTGTGGCTCCCACAGGCGTGAGTGAGTGTGTGTGCTTCCTCTCTCCGCATCTGCTGCTTGACATCTTTAATTTATTATTCCTGTTATATAACTTTGTTTTGGTGTTTGAACTTCCATTCCCATGACTTTATGTTGAAAAACAGTTTTAAATCTAGGATTTGCATTTCACCACAGTGATAGAGCCTGGTTATTTTTTGTTATTTGCAATATGGCATATAATATGGCAATAATCTATGTCTAGTCACCAGTCAGGGATAACAAGAGATGTATGGCATATTAAAACAAAATGGATGTTCCTCTGATGAGGGAAGTTATTGCTGGCCTAAGCAAAGAAAATGACCAGAGTGAATTTCACAGGCTGTGCAGCCCTGGAGGCTGTGGCTCTGGTCTCTCGGCCCTGCTCACACCCAGACCCCTGCACCCTTCTGTGAAGAGCCCCTGTGATTTCGAGCCTGCAGTGTGAAGCTGCCATGACTGAGTCAGCATCTGTTTCAAGTCTCCTGGGTGACAGAACACATATTTGGGTCAAACTCTGAAGCACCGATGCAGCTGATGTTGAATAAATGTGACAGATTTACCTAGTTAGTGACTTTTTATGAAGGAAGAAACCTAATGCACGTGTGCGTCTTGAGACGTGTGGGCCTTCTGTCCTGTGTGCAGCTGTGTGTGCTCCCCCACCGGCCCGGCCTGCGCGCTTTTCTGCCCCGGCACTCGGCAGCTGCCCAGTACGGCTCAAGCCAGGATTTTCCACGGCTGCCTCTGAACGGTCTCCAGGCTGCTTCCTCACCTCCTGCTCAGCTCCAAGTGCCATTGCTATGAGGGGACAGGAGCAGGGCAGGAGATTGTCCTGAGTCTTGACTCTGACTGTGCAGTGTGCAGGGTTATCACCTTTACACATCCCACTTTCTTCATCTTTACAGTGGGGAGAGCAATTTTTTACCTTCCCCAGCCTGAAGCAGGGGTGTGGTGGAAGATCAAAGAAAGTGCTTTAGCTTTTAAAAATAGAGAAAAAGCCAACAGTTCTTGGGTGGACATATCAGACCTGTTCCCGACAGGACAGATGGCAGCACAGCCAGACCCGCTCTGTGTCCCAAGAGCAGCCCTGGGCAGAGCAAGGTGGGGAGCCGCCCCTCACCAGCCCAGCTGTTCTCACACACTCCCTCTGCAACGTCGGATGGTTCACAACAGGATCTATTGTTTTCTTTAATTTCGCCTTGTGGAAACCCTTGTATCCCTTACTCTCTTGTGCTGTTATTGAAGGTTTAATGGGTTCGTTTTGACTCCTCATATAGACTATGCTTGATAGTTCTTGCAAGCTCAACACGATGCCTGGAACAGGTAAGTGTGTGAGTGAAAAACAGTTTGAGCTGCTTTTTAATTAGAACTATTAAAAAAGAATTTTGGTTGCTTTTTAATTGGAGCAATGAAAAATCAAACGATTACCTGCTCAAACCAGAAAATTCTTAGTTCTTTTCCAACTTAGTTTATAATTTGCTTCCTTGTATCTTTGGGTTTAATTTGCTGTTCTTTTCCCAGTTTCTGGGGGCAGAAGCTCTGAGCCTTTATTCCAAAACTTTCTTCCTATTAAATATATGCAACTAAAGCTATACAGTTTTCTCTAAGCACTGCTCTAGCTTGTCCCTCATGCTTTGATATGACATTTCTTATCATTTTTCAATACAAAACATTCTCAATGTCCATCGTGCTCCTTCTATGCTTAACAACGTGGAAGTGTCTGTGCGATTATTTCAGTTATCTTTCTGTTGTGTTACAATGTGATTGTGTTGCGCAAGAAAACAGAGTTTGTGTGATTTTACATATCTTTTTACTTTTAATTTGTTGAGATGCGTTTTATGGTCGAGTCTGTTTTGGTAAATGTTCCTTGTTCCCTTGATAAAGAGTTGTTGTTGTTGGGTGCACTGTTGTTGTTGGGTGCACCCAACACTGCAGTTGTTGGGTACCGTGTTCTGGAAAATTTAGTTGTGTCCCTCAAAGGCTATTTTTATACTTTTTTTTTTTTTTTGGTTTGTTTATTCTCTCAGCTTCAGAAACAGGTGTTAAAATCCTCAACTATGCTGTTGAATATTTATCTTCCTCTGCTTAGATTTTTTTTTCCTATACATGTTTAGCAATGTTATTAGGCACACACACACAATTATGAGTTTTGTATCTTCCTGTTTTTATGAAATGCAGTTTTTATCTTTAGGAATATTTTTGCCTTAATTAAAATCAACTGTCTCGTGGTGCTATAGCTACCTCAGCTGCCTCTTAAACACAGTGTGTCCATGACTCCCACTCTATAGACATTGATCTTCAGCCTGTCTGTATTATTTCATCTAAAATGTGCCTCCTGCAATTTCATATTGTTGGATTCTTGGTTTTTCATACAGACCATCTTTGTCTTCTAATTAGAGTGTTCAGTTTTATACATTTAATTACTAAAATAATTGTGTTTAAGTAAGCCTACCATCCTACTAAATGATTCTATTTGTCTTGTCTGTTTTTATTTTTGTTCCATTTTTCTTAATTTCTTTCAGATAAGTATTTTCACGCATTGATTTTTCTTTTTCATTATATTTTAGTACATTATTTTATTATTCTCTTAGCAACTACCTTAAGCATCTTTGAGTAGCTAATGTTTAAAGTAGTCATTTTAATATTTCTCTGAAAATACAAGAAGCTTCCAACAGTTAACTTCATTTTTGCACTAATATAAAATTTTACTCATGCACACCTTATAAAACTTGCACTAAATTGTTATAGTTGTTGTTTTCAACAGTTCTGGTTATTTTTAGTTTCTGGAGGGCTTCATTCCTTCCTGACGATCTCTGCTTACCTGTAGGATCTTCTGGACTTTTCTTTCAGCTCAAGAAACTTCTTTCACTGTTTATTTCCGATGTCCTTCTGTGGCAGGAAATTGATCAACTCTTCTCTGACTTGGAATGTCTTTATTTCATCTTATGTTTAATGAGGTATGATAGCTGTAAAATAAGTGGCATGTATTGATGAATACTAATACAGCGACATATTGATTTCCCATGAAAACATGTGTTTCTGTAACCTAAGGCTTCCTCATGTTCCTTGGTGTCCATTTCTCCCTCCGCTCCTGTCTGAGGCAACTGTCAGTTTGATTTCTGCCACTGTAAAGTAGTTTTCATTTCCCATTACAGTGCATGTTCTTTCTTACTTTTAATCTGGCTGCTTTAATTTCACCTAACAATTCTGGGTGCATCATCCACTCACTGCGTCCCCCAGTTGCTTGTTGCTTTTTATGGCTGAGTCCTTGCCCGTTGCGTAAGCACAGCACAATTTATCCACCAATTCACCTGCTAATGGACATTTCTATTATTTTCAGGTTTTGGTTATTAAAAATAAAAAGTGATATGAGCATTTGTATCCAAAAATTTGGGTCTCAAATGTGTTAATTGTAGGATTAGAATATCTGAGTCATATGGTAGGTGAATGTTTAATGTTTTATAAATTGACCACACTGTTTTCCAAAACGGTTTACATTCCCAGCTGGAGTGTATAAGATTTGAAATTGCTCTCCATCCTCACCAGCGTTTGCTATGGTCATACTTTTAAATATTAGCTATTCTCACAGGTGTGCAATGGTATTGCCCTTATAGTTTTAACCTCCTTTTCCCTAAAGACTAATACTGTTGAGCATCTTTTCCATTGCTTATTTGCCAGTTGTGCATCTTTTCTTGTTCTTCTTGTTGTTGTTGAAATATCCATTAAAATATTTGTCTAACTCAGTCCACAAATGTACAGAGTTGTTTGTTTTCTTACCATTGCATTGTAAATTATTTGTATATTCAGAGCAAAAGCTCTTTCTCAGATATTTATTTTGCAATACTTCCTTTCAATCTATTAAATCATTTTAATGATGTCTTTTGAAGAATAAAATATTATAATTTTCATTTTTAAAAATTTATAATGTATAATTTCTTGTGTCCTTTTTAGGAAAACTTTGCCAAACAGAAGATCACTAATCCTTTGTCCTATTTTTATTCCATAAATACTACTAAGTAATTATTATTGGCATTTATAGAAAATTCCTCCAAACAGTAACAATGTATATCTTTAAATTGAAATATTTTACCAAGACAGCTGATGTTCTGTGCCATAGACTAAACCTTAAACATGATAAAAGAGTAGAAAACAAGCAAAGTATGTTCTGAGACCATAATGAAATTAACTGAAAATAAACAAAAACATATCTGGAAAATCCCTGAATATATGGCAAATAAACAACACACTTCTAAATCAACGATGGGTCAAAACTGAAGTCTTACACTAAACTAAAAATATTTTGAATCAAATAAAAATTAAAATACTATATATCAAAATTATCAGGATACAGCTAAGCAGTGCTTTGAGGGAAATGTAGAGTACTAAGTGCTTGTAATAGAAAATAGGAAACACCTAAAATCAGTAATATTACAAACACCTCTATGCCCAAAAGGAAATAACTTACATGAAAATTAAAAATGTTTCTACCTGCAATAATGAATATTTGGAATTTGAATTTTATAAAATGTCATTTGCACAACATGGCTTGGCCTGGAGGACATGATTCTATGTGAAATACTCAGACACAGAAAGAAAACAATGGAATGATCTCACTTATATGTGAGATTTAAAAAAAAAAAACAAAAAAACTCTCCAATACACAGAGACAGTGTGTGTAACAGTGTTTCCATGGGTGGGGATTGTAAGAGGACATGCGGGGATGTAGGTCAAAGGGATCAAAATATCACAGAAGGCATGAGGGCCAACAGTTCCGGAGACTGGATGCGCAACATGAGGGCCAAACTTAATAAAATTGCACCATGTTAAGGATTTTTGTTAAATAAGTAGATTTTAGCTGTCTTTGTCACACACACAAAAAATATGTGGGATAATAGATACGTTAATCTGTTTCACCATTGTAACCATTTTACTATCTATATTTTGTAGCATCATGTTGTAAACCTAAAATATACACAATACTATTTAAAATGCATTAAATTGCACTAAAACAAATGAAGCATTAGGTATAAATATAACAAAATAGGTGCAGCGTTTGCTGAAAACTACAAAATGCGGATGAAAGAAAGAAAAAAAACCTAAGTAAATGAAGAAATATGCAGTTTCATGGATTTGAGACTCAATATTTCAAAGATGTCCATTCTCCCATTTTCCTTGATTTGAGCAATGCAATCTCAATAAAATTCCAGCAAGTCTACTTTGTAAATAACCACAAGCTGAATCAAAATTAACATAGAAGGGCAAAGAAACTACAATAATCACAAAAATTCTGCAAGAAAAACAAAACAAAATTCTGGAGAACGAACAAAACAACAAAGATAAAGTACCCATACAACTTGATTTTAAGACACTATAACGCGACAGTAAACAATACAATGTGGTATTGGCGTTGGGACAGTCAATCAACGGAACAAAAGCAAGAACAGAGAAACTGACTCAGACATATATTGACAAGTGACTTTTGGCAAAGTCAAGTTAGGAAAGAAAGAAAATCTTTTCAGTTAATTGTGCTGGAACAATTAGTATGCAAATGTCCCAAATATGACCAATATATACCTCTTCCGTATACAAACATTAATTCGTAGTGGATTACAGATTTGAATGTAAAATGCAAAACCATACAACTTCTGAAAAAAACATAACAGAAAAGCTGCATGACTTTGGTTTTGGTAGTGAGTTTTAAGATACAATACCAAAAGCACACTCAATGAAAGAAGAATTTTTAAAATTTGACTTTAACAAAATTTAAAGTGTTTGCTTTGCAAAAGACACTGTAAATATGGTAAAACGGCACGCCACAGACTTGGAGCTATTACTTGCAAATTTCATATTTGATAAAGTACTTATATCCAGAATTTTTTTTCTATCATCCTCAAGTACTGCTCAAATTAAAGCTTAAAATAAAATTGACAGCACCAAATGCTGATAGATATGTGAAGCCACAAGAATTCCCATTGCTGGTAGGAATGCAAAAGTAGTATTCTACTCGGACGTCCATACACCTTGGATGGCAGATTGCCTATTTCTTATAAATGTACACTCATCTCTCGGCTCATGAAGTCCTGTCCCAGATGTTCATCTAAGTGAATGGAAAACTGCGTTCACACAAAAAACAATTTGCAGATGTCTGTAACAGTTTTATTCATAACACCTCAAACTGGAAACAACCAAGTTGTCCTTCAACACATGAGTGGAGAAACAGACCGTGGTGTGTTCACACGACGTAAGACTACTTAACAGCGAAAGGAGTGAGCACCCGACTCACATGACCTGGACGAGTTTTCACTGCATTTTGGTGAGTGAAAAAGGCAGCCCCCAAAGTCTGCATATTATATGTTCCACTTATATCACATCCTGGAGAAGGCAAACGTGCAGGAACAGAAAAGGGTGCAGGGCTTCTAAGGGTTTGGGGATGAGTTGATGAGTGATAGAACTGTTCTGTGTGGTAGTGGGTAGAAGATTTTTGACTGCATTTCTGAGTTGTGCAAAGACATAGAAAAACTAAAAAGTCAAATTTATTGTATGCAAATTTTAAAAAATCTCAACTAGGATTTGAGGGAATCTCAAACTAGAAGAATGACTGTGACAAATGAATCTAACTGATAACAAATGATGCCACAACTCAGAAATTTTGCAGAATCAGAGAAGAGAAGTGTGAATCTGGTGGGGAACTCAGCCAGGCAGGATGGGGGCTCTCAGGCCAGCCACTTGGTGGTGCCAGAGGACCTCCAACAGAACCTTGCACATGATTTTACATAATTTACCCAGACAGCAAAGAAGGCTCAGCCACTGCACTCAATCAATACCAGTGACGACACTGCCACTTGCTGAACACTACCTTGGAGCATGTCTACGGGTCAACAGCATGACACCGATAACACTGAAAAATGGAAAATGCACAGGAGCCCGAGCCTCTACACAGAGTCTGGGCCCCTTTTTGAATTTCATATGGCTACACTGTATAATGAGTTTTGACTGTGTCCTGGTCATTGTTTAACTTTTCTCAGAATTTACTTGGAGTTTTACTGATCGGAGAATTATGGACTGTATAGTAGAGAAAGCAAATATATAAATAAGCATAATTATGCTGGCTCCCAATGTAAATAATGAATTCATTGTTCTAGTTTTGCTGGCGTTGTCACTGAAGAGCTCTGAAAGAAGCCTTCTGCTCGCTCAGAACCTTGAGGCATCCAGTGGTACCACAGAGTTAAAGCCATCCAAAGCGTCTGGCATGGGTTCCCTGGTGAAGACATCACACTCGTCTCGAGTCCACACTCCCTGGCAGCCCTATAAACTCTCACCCTGTGAAACTATCACAAGTTCGCCATTATGCAAAGTACTTACCCCCAGATTTTCAACGTTATCTTACTTCAGGCAGACACAGAAAAGGTACTTCCACAGGTTCATGCAGTGTACCCAGGCTCATGGTCAATCGGCACAGGCTGCTTTTTCTCCATGGCTCCAAAGCAGCATCCACTAGACTAAGACCTGGAAATGTTGTCTTTTAAGGAAAGATGAAAAGAAAAATCACGCCCTAGAGTCACGTGGAAGGAACACCATACTTTGCTTTTGGCCACTAGTCCACAATTAACCTGAGAGTTATGTCACCCAGGTACACCACCACCTGGGCCCCTGTCCCATCAGAAAACTTTACAGCAAAGATGGTGAGGAACGTACCAGAGCAGATGACATTCCGGAGAACTCAAGTTACGCAAATGAAGACAACTTATTTCAGAAGAAGGAGAAAATCGTGAGAAGTGAAGTTTCCGTCAATACCCACTGTAAGTGTGCCAGATGACTGGCTCTGGAGTGTCATCCTCAAATCTGGGGGCTTTCCTAGGCATTTTCTTAGCATGTTGCCTATGTACGGTTCCGTACTGTTAACAGGCACCCGCTGCCTCTCAGCAATGGTGTCTATAATGTTTCTCCCCTACTATGCCTTGTTCATCCCTAGTGGCTTCTTGTCATGAGTCTGATTTCTGGTTTGATATTCTCACAATGCGGCTCATTCTGATAATCGGAATCATTCCCAGGCTTGGTCTCACTGTCTCTGTGAGACAGCCAGACTCTTGGTATCAGTGTCTTGTGGCATATATGTTGGTTTTCTGGGTAATTTTACTCAAAAACGTGAAGTGACATTTTGCATGCAACTCTAATATTTGTTTCAAGGCATTCCTATAAATCAGTTTATCAAGATAAACAGTTTGTTTGCCTCTGCAAACTTCTCTCTATCAGGACAGCATGTTGCTAATCTGAGCAAAAAGTTCATTTACCAAACAGCAATGTTCTTGTGAAAGCTCACTTCAAAACTCTTGTCTTCTGTCCACAAACCTTATGTGACCACATCACAGACTTTACCCAATCCCAATCAATTTTCATCTTAAAAGAATCACTTAAACCTACCATTTATTCTAGCAAACTCTGGTTCCTGTGTAGTTGATAATTTACACTTAATCCTGACAAAAACGTTAATTCAGGAAATTCTTCTAGCACAGACTGGAGTTTCCTTATCTTCCTCCCTCCCACTATGATCCGGGCTCTTCCGGGATCCCATCTCTGTTGAGGAGGAGTCACTGGGGTTCTGGGAGCCCTGGAGAGACTTGAGACTTTAAAAGCTGAAGATTCTTAAGAAGCTACAATATATATTATCTGTTGTTTTATTTTATTGATTGGTTCTTGTAGCATACATATGTATGAAAAGCTAGTACTTACCTTTTTTGTCTTTCTAAGAAGTCTTTGCAAAAAAGAATTATGTGCTGGTTTTGTGTGTGTGTGTCTGTGTGTGTGTGTACACGCTGGTGTATGTGTGTAATGGGGGAGGTGCTGGTTGTATTATTTGAGAATAAAGAATACAAGGCTTTGAAAAGTCACTTTGCCCAAGGCTACATAGTAAGTTTTTTGGGTTTTGTGTGTTTGTTTTGTTTTCTTCAGACACGGTTTTATTCCTGTTGCCCAGGCTGCTGTGCAGTGGCGTGATCTCGGCTCACTACAACCTCTACCTCCTGGGTTCAAGTGATTCTCCTGCATCAACCTCCCAAGTAGCTGGGACTACAAGCACGTGCCACCACACCCAGCTAAGTATTTTTTGTATTTTTAGTATAGACGGGGTTTTGCCATGTTGCTCAAGCTTGTCTCAAACTCCTGGCCTCAAGTGATCTGACCGCCTTGGCCTCTCAAAGTGCTGGGATTACAGGCGTGATCCACTGCACCCGGCCGTAGTAAGTTTAACAGCTGGAATTCCAACTTTGTGAAGCACTGATAAGAACTGAAAAAAAAAAAAAAATTCAGACGAGTAACTTAAACACATATAAAATTCAAATCTCCATCGAAGTGTATTAACTAGACATTACTTATTAAATTTCATTAAATAAATTCCAGTAGATCTAAACATATTGCAATTACATGCACTGATATATTTTTGGAAACTGAACATTTTAATAGCCTTGTTGAAATATAATAAATAAACTGTACATGCCAGTTAGTATAGTCTCAGTGCTGTGCAACCACAACCATAAGGTAAATTTTAGAACATTTTTACTCTGAAAGGAACCCCAGAGCCGTCAGCAGCCACTCTATTGCCCGCCATCTCCCTCCACCAGTTCCTGGCCCACCAATCTACTTGATGTCTCCATGGGTTTGCCTGTTCTAAAACTTTCGTATAAATAGAATTACAGAATATGTGGTCTTTTAAAAATTCCCTCAAACTCTGTATTTTTCCCTATGCATGTATTTAACCGAATTTATGAAATTTTTGCAATAATTTTAAAGGAAAGTTTTGAGTTACTTATTTTCAGAAATGGTAATATACAGTATTTTTTTTAAAAATTCTACACAGAGACAAATCTCTTTGAAAAGCTCAGCTGTTGGAAGTGAAGATGCTTTGTCTAAATGGAGAAATAAAATTAGGATGAAGAGACGCTAATTCAACTAGATTTTTGAGACGCTAAATTTTGTGATGGGAAAAATGCAAGACATTTATTAGAGAATCCATTCCTGATCCTGCATAAAAGGGCACACACTTTGGCCACAGAGTATTTTGAAGGGGATACATGATAATATTAAGTATATATATGGGGCCAGAATTGTATTTTTAATAGACAAGTTAAAATACCCAAATCCATGCAAGGCCTAAGAATGACAGTTTTGTGAGGAGCAAGCAAGGCCTCCAGGAAAAGGGCAGGGAGGGAAAATGGGAAGCGGATGGAGGCTGGGCTGAGGCCCTGATCTCTGCTCTTCCCTCCTCCCCACCAGCCCGTTTCTCTTTTCCATCTTTTTCTACCCTCTATGACAAATGAGAGTGTATCAAATTCACCTCCAAATGGGCTAATGTACTTTCCAGGTCTCCTTTCACTTGGTTTAAATATAGAAACGGAGGAGTGTGGAAAGGCACTGGCCCCAGCAAAGCGGGTTGGCTTTGTCCCTGGGTTCACTCTTGCATACTGGACAGGTCACTTCAGGCCTCGGATTCCTCATTTGTGAAGCACAGGCAAAAACTCAAGGCTCCCCACTTTGCTGTGGTGGTGAATCAGTGGGGTAAATGCTTAGCCTGGGACTGGCTTGCTGTACCCTCCACAGTGACCACTTGAAGTGGATCCCAGAGGCTCTTTACTTTGCCATAAAGACAGTTTAAGGAAACGAGACTTTTAAATAACTTGTCTGCAACTTCTGCAAGAGATGGTAAGTGCATATTGTGTCTTTCTAAGCTACTTTCAGATGAACTATAAATCTCAGTGCGTTCTCCTGCATTGGAGGGAGAGGCTGCTAATGCAAGCTCAGCCCTCCTGTGCAGCTCGTAATGAGGCAGGCCCCTTAGTCCTCTCTGCTCCCCAAGACCAACCCCATAGCTGGGCAGTTGTTGCAATGTGACACACTTGGGCACGTATCTGAGACGTCATTTTGAAAATGAAGAACCGATATTTTTCTTACTTATAAAAGCAGTCCTACTTCTCAAAGGAGACGCCTGTCCTGGAGGACCTGCGACAAGGTAGAGAAGAGGTTTTCTCCCCTCATGCCTTCATGGAGACGCTCATGTTGCTAGACATGGCGACGTCTGTCACGAAACGTCGTGTCCTCAGCCCTTCACGTAGGCAGGTTTGACTCAGCGTCCTCGGGGCACTTCCTGTTCCTGCCCACATGTGCTCGCGCATGCGCGGTGGGGCTGGCCTTTCCAACATCCGCTGTCTAACTGGTAGGTAGCAGGGTTAGTTATTGATATTGTGTGTATTTAATGTGTTTAATTTTCATCCATATATCTTCTTGGCTGATCTGTCTTTTCAACTATTTTGCCCATTTTAAATTGTTTTTTCCCGTTATTGACTTTTGAGTCTTTTTAGATGTGAAGTACAAGCCATTTTTTCAGATATATGGTTTGCAAATGTTTTCTCCAGATCTGTGGCTTATATTTTTTGTTCTCTTAACAGTAGTGTCTTCTGACTAGCATATGTGCTTCATTTTGAGTATGTCCAATTTATCAGTTTCTTTTCTTTTATGGATTGTACTTTCGTTGTCAAATTTAAAATATCTTTGCCTAACTCAAGGTAGCACAGATTTTTTTCCCATGATTTCTACCATAATTTCTACTTTTGTATTCTACGTTATGTTTATAATCTATTTTGGTTCCATTTTTATGTAATATGAGATGTAGATAAAAGTTAATTTTTTTGCATAAGATACTCAATTGTTCTAGCACCATTTGTTGAAAGGCTATTGTTTTTCCTCCATGGAATTATCTCTGCATCTTTGTTGAAATGAACACACCACAGACGTGTGGGCCTATCTCTGGGTGTGGATGCAGCTCAGGTGATCTATTTCTACGTTCTTATGGTAACTCCTTACTCTCAGGCCACCACAGCTACTGCTGTGCAGAAGAGGCAAGGCCACCAGCGGCCCTGGCATTTGCTCCCCTTCCTAGTCTATTCTCCAGGTCTGGGTGGAATTCAGAGCCCAGGCTGCCTCTGGCCCTTTCCACCAATGGGCGGGTTTGCCCCTGTGCAGATAAGCTGAGGACCAACCCCAACACCGGATGGCTGGTGGCCACAGAGATGGACTCAGCACAAAACTGCTTAGTCCTGTGCTGAGTGGAAACCAACACCTGCAGCTGGAGGCTGGGTTCACTGTGGACTGAATGGGAGGTGAAGCTGGCCGGGCTTCTGGGTTGGGTGGGGACTTGGAGAACTTTTCTGTCTAGCTAAAGGATTGTAAATGCACCAACCAGTGCTCTGTGTCTAGCTAACGGTTTGTAAATGTACCAATCAGTGCTCTGTAAAATGGACCAATCAGCTCTCTGTAAAATGAACCAATCAGCTCTCTGTAAAATGGACCAATCAGCAGGATGTGGGTGGGGCCAAATAAGGGAATAAAAGCAGGCCACACGAGCCAGTGTTGGTGTCCCGCTCAGGTTCTCTGTCTGAGTGTGGGAGCTTTGTTCTTTCGCTCTTTGTAATAAATCTTATTGCTGCTCACTGTTTGGGTCCGTGCTGCCTTTATGAACTGTAATACTCACCATGAAGGTCTGTGGCTTCACTGCTGAAGTTAGCGAGACTACGAACCCATCAGAAGGAATAAACTCTGGGCAGATCTGAACATCTGAAGGAACAAACTCTGGACACACTATCTTTAAGAACTGTAACACTCACCACGACCAGGGTCTGTGGCTTCATTCTTGAAGTCAGCGAGACCAAGAACCTGCCAATTCCGGACACACTAGGTAGCTTTAGGCTGTGGAATTAACCCATTTATACTGAAGGCCGCAAAATTTTTTTGTGAAAAGTCAGACCTTGGGAATGATTTTGAGTGGTAGGATATAAATAATTCCCACAAACTTAGCATTCCAATAATGGAACACTAGGCGTAAATGGGATAAGGGTATCTTTATTTCATAGTAGGCCTGTTAAAATTTTTCTCGGTTCATAAATTAAGGGTAGAGAAAGCACTCCTTGGTGAATTCCCACTTTTCCTTAGGGATTTTCCTGGGAGAGGGTCGTTTATTAGCTAGCATGGTGGTGAGCAGCGTTAGAGGTTGTCTCTGAAGAAGTTAAAGTGGTTGGTATTTCCTCCCGTGTGCAGTTCTTCAGAAGCTTGGTCCTAGGGCTGGGAGGAGGGATGAGGCAGGGAATCAAAGACTTGCGTCTCTTCTGCGAAGAGAAAGGCCCTGGCAAGAGAGTGTACATCTAGGGTTGGCTTCCAAAGAACCGGCAAGTGACAACACGGAAAATGTGAAGACAAGCCCAGGGTCGTCTTCCGACTCTCCATGTGTTTGTTATGATCCGGAAGTGACATCTCCCTCTAGGGTTGTCTTCCGATTCTCCATGTGTTCCTGAGGATCCGGAAGTGATGTCACCCTCTGCAACTCATCATTCCAACCCAGAGGACCATGAGGGTCCACGGCTAAACAGCTACATGTGTAAAGCACTCAGATTAGTTCCTGGGACAACAAATTACTCTAAAATATATGTGTTGCCCATATAAACTTGTCATACTGTGGGAAATGGGTACTGTGGGTTCTGACTTACAGCCTAATTTTAAACCTTCTGCTTTAGAATGTAGAGGAAGTTCATAATAAATTCCTAATCAGTTTATAGTTGAGTCTGTTTTCAGGGAGCCTGTTTTCAATGGAGAGTCTCCCTCTGTTTATAACCCATGGTGAGTTGAGCTCTCTCTGATTTTACACAGCAAATTGTTTCCTATGCTGTTCCTCACTTGTTAGAATCCCATCAATAAGAACATAGAGTAACTGCCTATAGAATCAGGTTCATTGAAGACTGGGAAAACTGATAAAAATCAATCAAACATAGAGGCATCAAAGAGTTATAAAAGAGGTTATACAGGAAGATTTTCAGTTGGTCTCCACTTCTGAAACGGCTCATTTTTTAATACCTGAGACTAAACAATATCATGTTTCTATTTTCTTTAAGTTGCTTTTAGAATTAACATACCTTAATTCGTGTCTGGTATGCTTCAGAACTTTGGCTCAAACCATCTTTTTGGACTTTAGGCTCTTTTTCTTGGACTTCCACCGGGACCTGCCCAAAGCCAGTGGACATAGAGCATGAAACGGCTTCCTTTATTTCTCACACCCCAGTTTCCTTCTGTTTGAATTTTTGTCAGTTCATACATTAAGGGTAGAGGAAGCACTCTTTCTCCAAGGGGAGAATTCCCGCTCTGCCTCTGGGTTCTTCCCTGGAGAGGGCCCTTTTTAGCGAGGAGTGGTGATGAGCAGGGATAGAGGTCTCTCAGAGGAGGTTAAATTGGCCCTGTACTTTTTCCTCAGTAATTCCTGAGTTGTACCTCTGCATAAACACACCCAGTCTGACATGGAAGGCTGACTCAGCTGGAATCTGATCTCACCTCTCCTCCCTGTGCACTTGCAGGGACGTCAGGCTCTGCAGGCAGCCCTCTGGGCACCAGAGCCTTTCCTGACCCAGGCCCTGGTCACTCTCCCTAGAGGCTTTACTTGGGGGAGCTCCCTACCATTTCCCCAGCTAGGAGGAAGCCAGACCTCTCTTGGGAGAGGTTGGTGATCCAATCCAGGTGATGGGGTCAGTGGAGACGTTCTCTCAAATAATGTATCAGACATAAAGGCCAGGAAGTTTCTACCATTCTGGAACATTGGGAATTGTGATGACAACATGACTGTGTGTACTGGGAGAAGATCTGCTGCGTGGTCTAATGGAATCTATGGTAGACGAAAGTGTCTCATAAAAGGGTTTTTTACTGAATTTGGAAAATTCATGTGTTTAGCCAGATGAATCAGAAAAGATTTTTTTTCCTTTTTTTTAGCCAGAAGCGTCCATATGTTTTCAGATGCACTAGCAAAGCAAAAGCACAGAAACATCAATTTTCTAAAAGGAGGGCAAAACCACATTTTCTTCCTGGAAAAACTCAAGAGTTGAGAAAGGGAAATTGGACGTGTCATTTGGGATTACACTGAGGCAAAGTTGCCATCTGGACAGAAACTAGCACTGGCGAAAGCAACGTTGCCACCCTCACATCTTCCGGAAACAGCTCCTGACAAGGCTCTGACCCTCACTCACGGATGGTTTCTTGATTCGTTGGTGGGTTGTGTATTTATAATGGCACAGGAGAACGCTCAATCGACATGGTCTCTCGCGAATACAGTGAGCATTCCAATAGGTGGTTTAAGCCTCAAGCATTTTTAAAAAGAGCTGGGTGGTTTGTGCTTTTAGGATATAGCTGAAGGTGGAGAACAGAGAGAGAGCCCATCACTGCAGAACGCAGAGCTCTGGGGGTGAGGATGCTCGGGAGAGAGGCACTGCCTGCTCTTGGTACATCATGGACAGCACACGTAACACAGGCCAGCCAGGCACTGGAGCAAGGTGATGAGCCTTCTCCTCACTTCACAGTCGAATCCTTCTGAAAAGTCCATTCATAAATGTGTTTCTAGATTTATTCACTCATATGTATTCGGGTCAAATCTTCATGGTGAAATCCTCAGCAATCTGGCAGTTGGTGGAAAATTGGTATTTTTCAAGTCACTTGAATTGTTCAATGGTCACGAGAAACCACAAGTTGCTTATGTTTAGTGAATTATGTTGCATTCAGTTAAGTACCCAATATACGTATAACCAGCAAGTTTTACAAACCTGTGTTACTGAATCAGATCAAGGCTAATGATAAGTTCAGTTGGCACCTTTCCCACTTCTAGGGAAAGGACTACGTTTATATGTTAAATATTTACCAAGTGAAAAGCACATAATCATTCATTTAATCCAGGCAAATTGAACGACTACTATGTGCTGGTTAGAACAGTGGAACCACAATGGCCCTTTTCTCCAGTAGTCACATCTGCTGTTTCTTGAGAATAACCAATATGATTCTTTTACAAGTGTTTTGTAATTAAAACATTTTACACGGGGACTTTAGAAATTCTCATATTGCAGACTTTACTTATTGTGGGTGAAGAAACAGACCCAAAGAGGTGAACTCACTCATAAAAATTTCTGGAAGTTAGTAAAAAATAGTTATTGTTATTATTAGAGTACTTTATTATTGTAACTACAAGATAGTTGTTGAGAATCGAGACAAAGCAAGCTCTGAGACACACACCTCTTATGGATGTAAATCGATACCATTATGTAGCAAAGTTATTTGCATTATCTAACCAAATTAGTTTATTTAACTAAATTGGCATTATTGAAAGCTAGAAATCCCACTCCAAAGTATATAAACTCAACTCGCAGCTTTCAACCTTTTTTTAATGATAAAAAGCAGAAAACATTTAATATCATAAGACAAAACACAGTTATATAATATAAAAGTTTTGCAAAACATTAATTTTGCTTACTTTGCGCAATGCAATCTATTTTTATTTTTTTCTTTTTCCTCCCCTCTCCTCTTTTCTCCACTGTCTTCCCTTCCCTTCTACTGAATTTTATTTAATTAAATAATACTTTCACCACCTATTAAATGTATTTAATGATCCACTAATGGATCAAACTCTTAATTTGAAAAATGCTGCCTGAGAAGAAGATTTGTGCTCGTTGAGAGAAACACAAAAATGTGCAAAGCAATGTCAGCAAGAGCAGAAAAGTGGAACTATCACAAATGACATGGTTAAAAGGGGCAGTCATAAAATGGAATGTTAAATATGAAGGAAAGTTAGTGAACTATAGGTGTACTTGTCTCAGATGTTTCTCAAAACCAAATGAGTAAAAAACAAGTTCCAGAAGAATGTGTATAGTGTATCTATGTTTATTTGTTAGTCAAAAACCAACTGAATAATGAATTACTCAGAAATCATATATATAACAAAGTTATTTAAAAAGAAGGAATGATTTATGCAAACTTTAGAATCACTTTTATCCAGGTGGAGGAGAAAGTGGAGGAAAGATAACATATTTGGAAAGATGAACAGTGTGAGCCTCATAAGTACCAAAACTACTTCATATCTTGAGCTGTGTGCTGAGTATATGATTTTTCATTTTATTTTACAAACTGCACATTTATATGTTATTTTACATGTGCAATATGGTATTAAGAATAATAAAAATAAGTAACATGTCAGAGAGAGATTCAATATTTTAAGTATAATGATGTTCATAACTATGTTAAATAATAGAGTTAAAATTGTCAACATATTAAAAGTGCAAGAATAAGGAAGAGTAATCAAAGTATTGTATATCCACATATAAAAATTTTATAACTATGTTTTCAATAAAATTATACTTTGCATATACTTTGCATAAAAAGCATATGCAACTGTATATATAGTGTGATATAATTGTGTGTATATATATTTTGTGTATATATTTATATATATAAAACATTAGGAATCATACCAATGTGATAACATCATGATAATGATTTTGACTTTTTTTATATAAAATTTTCAAATTCTGTAATGAGAATAAACTACTTTGTAAACTAGACATGGTCAATGAGTCATTTTAAATGAATCAAATTTAAAAGAATAACCTAGTGCCCTCTCTGCTAATCCCCACAAAAGTATTAATAGAGTGTAAGAGAAGTTTCTATAATACATTCCCGGGAGGGTCTTTCATGTAGACACCCCATTAAATTAAGACAAGAATAAACCATGGTCAGCTGTAGTTCAGCCTCCATACTTGATTATGTCAATTCCTTGGGAAAAAATTTGCAAAGTGGAAATATAGTTTTTGACTCCCAGTGCAAAAGAGGGACCAAGTACCGTAGGCTAAAAGATCTATTAAATATGTTCTTCGTCACACAGGTCTCATTTCTGAGAGTATGAGAATAATGAGTGAGCCATTTTGCCCAGTGAAACTTTGTTAAAATAAAGGTCTTTGTCCTTTGGAGTTATTACTTACCAGCTTCATCTACTGACTATGAAAGATACTTAGTTCTCTAACTTTGAATTAATTATTCCAGATATTATATTAGTACATTATCTGTAACATTTATGTTAATGTTTTGAAAAACGACACCAGGAAAATGTTTAATAAAAATTAAAATGTAAAATATTAAAAGATATTAAATCCAAAGCAAGTTATTTTATGGGAATAACCTCCTGACAATAGTCTCAATTTTTTTAATTCATTAACAATCTCTGCCTTTTAATTTGAATGCTTTAACCAATTTATATTTATTATAATCATTGATTTAGCTTAGTTTAAATTTACCATCTTGCTGTTGTATTTTTATCTTACATCTTTGTTTTGTTTTGTTTTGTTTTTATACTTGTTTTTTGTCTTCTTTTGATTTAGTGAAGTAATTATAAGTATGGTTGACATTTGCTCAATGCAAGATTAGGGATGCCAACCACCCCATGCAGTTGAAAATTTATGTGTAACTTTTGATTCCTCCAAAAAGTTAACTACTCATGGCCTATCATTTACAAGGTGAATCATCTCTAAAACGGCAGCAACCACAAGTGTGGAGCTCAATTTACTGTACATATCAAGACTTCAACTTTTTCTTGTAATGAAGTGATTTTTCTTTGCTTCTTGGGATCACTAGTGGCACGTTGTATGAGTCTCATGGTGTTATTCAGTGTTTATGTCATTGCACTAAACACAATGGAAAACATGCGAGAACTGCAAGAAATCACTTTTTCTGTGTTGTGCAATTTACAGGAGCAATGAACTGCCCACATGGAGATGATCAGTGTTACATGGTGCTTTAAGCAGATACTTAGATACTAGCAAAACTTGATCTCACCCAAACAGCAACAGGAGGTGGCTACAAAATTATTACAGTAGTATTGTATTTACTAGAGTCAATTTTATGCAGTTATAATATAATACCACATCTTTACATTTGTTTACATTTATCTTGACTGTGAAGGGTATCATGCATGGTTTGTAGATGTTTGCATGCATAAGTTTTGATAAATTTTAGCTTTTTATTATAGATTTGTGTATATTTTATGGTAGTAAATGATAAAATAGACTAGTATTTACACATATTTTGTGCATTCATGAAATACTTAACTTTTTCTTAAATTTCTCTGTTTCTAGGTGACACAGTTGGTGAGTTTTTCCAATTATTTCAAATCTTCAAAAATATTCTAATATGTGTATTTTTAAAAATCTATACACAAGGGAACCTGCACAGTTGAAACCCGTGTTGTTCAAAGGTCAGCTGTATTCCATTTTATTTCCCTTATTTGATTATAAACTGATTGTGCAGAATTACGTTATAGATATTTCTAGGACTACAAGGTGTACCTTAACTTGTCTCAGTCAATCTTGAATCAGTATTATGAAATCTAGGCATGCCGGGCGCGGTGGCTCAAGCCTGTAATCCCAGCACTTTGGGAGGCCGAGACGGGCGGATCACGAGGTCAGGAGATCGAGACCATCCTGGCTAACACGGTGAAACCCCGTCTCTACTAAAAATACAAAAAAAAAAAAACTAGCCGGGCGAGGTGGCGGGCGCCTGTAGTCCCAGCTACTCGGGAGGCTGAGGCAGGAGAATGGCGTAAACCCGGGAGGGGGAGCTTGCAGGGGGCTGAAACCCGGCCCTCGCAGCCCCCCCGGGGCAAAAAAAAAAAACCCCCTCCAAAAAAAAAAAAAAAAAAAAAAAAAGAAATCTAGGCATTACACAAGATGTTTTCAGACTTTCCATGTATTCGACTAGTACATATAAAATAAGCCTTCCAATACAGTGCTTTAGTTTTAAAGTCAATTCACTTTTAGAAAGAATTAGGAAAGAGTAAAAACAATCTTTTATATTTATGCATACATTTACTCTTATTTGACTAGTACATATAAAATAAACCTTGCAATACAGTGTCCTAGTTTTTAAAGTCTATTTACTTAAAAAAAAAAATAAGAGAAAAAACAGTCTTTTACATTTATACATACATTTACCAGTTCTGGAATTCTTTCTAAGGATTCTGGATTCTACCTGTTACGAGTCCCCTTTAGCCTGGGGAATCATCTCTTCCACTTCATAAAATTCAAGTCTACGGGTAAGAAATTGTTTCAGCTGACATTATTTGAAAATGGTTTACTTTGCGTTCCTCCATTTTGAAGGATAATTTCCCTGGCAATAGATTCTAAATGGACAGATGTTTTCTCCCTTTCTTTTCACATTTAAAAAAAAAAATTCCTTATCTGTAAGTGATATTTTCCCTGGCTATCTTTAGGATTTCCTTTTCGTCTTTCATTTTTCACAGTTTATGATGTGCAAAGCTGTGGAATTATTTGCATCTATCCCCTTGGGGCTTTGGTGTCTTCTACCTGTCCATTGCTTTTCATCGGATTTGTGACATTTCCACTTTTCTTTCTTCAGATGGTTTTCTCTTCCCTACTCTCTCCTCCTGACAACCTGATTACATGCATGTTGGGCCTCTTGACACTGGCACACAGCTCAGTTTTTATTCATCTTTATTTTCTAAGCTTTAATTTACACAGTTTCTACAGATAGACTTTCAAATTTAATCATCTTTCTTCAGCATTCTCCATTCTGTGGTCAAACCTATCAATGTATTTTTTGGATTTCAGATGTTACAATTTTGTGATCTAGAATGCCCATTTGTTTCCTTTTTCTAACTTGCTTTTCTCTGTTCTCATTCTTCATCTGTTCACTTGTTCCTTCCTTTTCCCCCTATAAATACTTGAATATCTTTATGATAATTATCTTCAAACTTCTGTTTGCTAGCTCCAATTCTGGAACCAGAAGAACATTCTGTCCGTGTCTTTTTTTTTCTCTTGTTTGTGAGCCTCATGTCACTTTGCACACCTCCGGATTTTTAATGGTGTATAAAACATTGTATATAGAAGGGCATTGAAATATGCTAATGTTTTGTGTTTATCTTATTTCTAGAGAATGTGAGCTCTTTTCTGTGTCTGTGGAGTAAAATGAGGAAGTAATCATCAGGTTTCACCGAAAGTCATGTTGAACCAGGGCTACGCTGTTACTTTCATAAGAATGAGTTTGCCTGCACTGAGGCCAGCCTCAAGCCTTCCACATCCCCACTATGGCCCCAGTGGAAGGACTGGTCTATTATATTTTCATCGTAGAGTGTTTGATGCAGAAAGAAGCTGGGTTCAGCTGTATCAGGCCCTCAATTCCACACACCATGAGAATAAGCAAGACTGTGCAAATTCTGATTTTCAGTTTCTACTTTACTTACTTTTTCTTTTTTCCTTTTTCCATAAAGTTGATGTTGTGCCATGGATAATATTCAGCATAAACAAATTATTGTTTCATTTGGTAGTCTTCCAGATTCTAATCCATCCCACCATGTCCACCATTGCTAATAGCTTGGCTGAACTTACCTTGACCTTGGAG